TTAAATCCCTGGGCCCAGGCTAAGGATGTTGCCTCGGGTGGTGTCTGGGCTCTGGGTGGTGTCTCATGAACAATTTAAACCACTTCTTCCCAGCAGAATTAAATGGTGACTTCAGCCCATGAGCACAAGCTATATCATATGCCAACTTCATAAGGTCCTCCCTGCTTATTCCAAACATCATGAAATCCATAAACCCCTTAAGGAAGAATCCCTCTAGTTTCCTTTGTAAAAAAGATATTTGAACCAAAGTGGCACTGATATTGTCGGTCTGATTTGGGGTTCAGTCTGGAACATTTATTTGTCAATTGGTGCAAAAGAAAAGACACAATGGTTAAAATTTTTAAAAAAAAATTGCCTTTTTGGCCCATGGGTGAGGCAAAAAGCCTGTTGTCAGAGGGCAAAATGCCCATGATGGGCTTTTTACCCCAAATCCAACAACAACCCTTGTTTTGCATAAACAAACAATTACTTTTTCTTGATTTCAGTTACCTCTTCTTTACATTATAACAATTTTTCCATTTTCTATTTTTTTCTAAATGTCATACGTATGTGAGCTCTTTGCACCGATAGGATAGGATAACCCAAACATTGTTATTTACTTATCATACAACTTAAAGCTATGAAAACTGGATTTACTCACAAATAAAAATGCAACAACTTACACTCTTATTTCAGAGCAATAAAAACAATTTACAAGTCCACTCCAATTCTTTAGTTAAGGAAAACCACTTTTGAAATGTTATAAATTTCAATTCTAAATCACAAGAACTGCTGGAGATTGAGAGCAGTACAGATTCAAGAAAAAAATCAACGATTTATGATATTTCTTGATGTTTTTTAATACATGTATGTATCATACAACAAAATACGCAAAACACTTTCAATCATTTTAACTTTTTGTTAACATTGTTAACTACTCTTTAATAGTGAGGTACACATATCTTTAAAAAAAACATCTTTCTTGGTGTATAGAGAGTTTTTGTGCCCATCACTGATACAGTAGGTTCTCAGTGGTTATGAATTGTGACATCAGTAAAAAACTTGTGAGAATAAAATCGAATTAGTCTGATTCACAACTTGGGCAAACAAATGATGGCATTCCGTCGGTGCACACTTCATGAGCCCATTGTTTGCAAACTTGACATAGCACCCATGATACATCATTCGGTCTGCTCTCATTAAACCACTCTGCACACACAACACACATCCAATCCTCTTCTTCTTCCTCCATTCCTTTGCGGTTGTTTTTTATGGTTTTCTTATGTTTCTCTGATTTCTTTTCCTGGTTTTTCTTACTTTGTTTCTTTGGTTTCTTATTTGCTTCAAGCTTGGCTTTGTAAGGCGAGGAAGTTAGGACAGCAGAGGTCTTGGCCTTTCGAGATAATTTCCTTTTTTCCTCGAGTTTTGGCAATGGAGACAGGTCTTTTATTATTCCCTGGATGGATTCAGAGGTCTGTCTTCTATCTTCTCTGGTAGACAACACGACGCAATCATAATGCCCGACATCCACTCCACAAGAAGTATATTTTACATAGAGCACAGGTTTGAAAGAATCTCGCTGTATGTTTGGATGGTGTTCATCCTGTGGTCCATTACTACAACGGGACGTCCCAGGACTTTGCTGGCAGCCACTATTTCTAGCTCACCTGCCATGGTTGTGTTGTTTGACATATCGGTGGTCCTGTCAGTTATGGAGTCGGACCATTTGTGAGGGGGCAAGATTCTGTAGCATATACAGCATGGCATTAGCTCTAATATTATCAGCCACTCTTGTCTCCTGCTCTCTAAGTCGCACTTCTTTCAATTTGCCGTCTTCATATCTTTCGGCCACTTGTAACCAGGGTCTTTCGCCTACAGCCAAACTCTGGAAAAGACACTGCCCGTCACCAATAATCTTCATAACTTTTGAGTTATTTACTGCATCTTCCTCCACAGTGGGAGCAAGTGCCATGACTGGTGTATTTTCCTCTGTAGTGGGAGCTGGTGCCATGACTGGTGTATTTTCCTCTGTGGTGGAAGCATGTGCCATGACTGGTGTATTTTCTTCTGTGGTGAAAGCAAGTGCCATGACTGGTGTATTTTCCTCTGTGGTGGGAGC